TTCCTTTTTCTTGAGGAATATCTGAGCAGAGTTGAAAGAGCCAGGGGTGCCTTTGACAGACTTGTGTGCCATGCTGGCCACTGCCCCCCCCCTTGCCTTCTCTTTGCTAAGCCATGCCTTAGTGTCAGCACAGATAAAGGACAGAGCTGGTCACTACTGTTCTTCACATATATATAGAGAGACACACGTACCAAGCACATGCCGCCCTGCTTCTGGTATTCCAGGAGGCAGGGATAAGTCTTGCCTCGGGGTGTCTGCATTTTGAAGAGCTGTATCTGTCAAAGGCCCAGCATTTTCTTTTACTCACTCTTCTTTCTCTTTGGTCTCCATCCTTCCACCTTTCTCTTCTTTTCGATTGCTCAGATATTTGAAGGGAATAGCAACTACGACACTCCTGAGCTGAGACGGTGGAGGCCCTGACGACTCGTTTCATCAGAATTTACCCGGAGAGGGCCACTCCTGCTGGTATGGGCCCTAACGGCTTTTCGAGCTCCTGGGCCTGCGAGATTGAAGGTAAACTAGAACTTTGCATTAAAGGTCCCCATGTCATGGCCATTCCTACTGTTCATATTGCAGTTGTTGATGTATACTAGAATATATTTAATATTGTGGTAATTTTCCAAACTCACCATTGGTTTCTCATACAGCATCTCTGTATAGTATGTGTTAATTCACTCCTCTGTCCTACACGGCTTGTTGGAGCTCCTGCCCCCCCTCCCTGTGAGCCCACCTGTGTTCTGATTGTCCAGCTCGCCCACTCTGTTCTGAATGAGTCCACCACCGTTAAAAGGCGGAACATCAGTGATTATGTGTTACAATGGCGTTAGCAACCAGAAAATGACACCCAGTAATGACAAACGATGAGAATGGCTGCGTGGGGTCCTGGGGTGGCGTGTTGGCGGGACGTTGCGCGGCTCGCTGCTGCGAGGAGCGGGACAATTTGAGCCTGGGTTCATTTCCCTGCTTGCTACGTGGGATATGCGAGACAGCGAGACATCGCGAAGGACGCGGGAAGGGGGGCGGGGGGGGTGCTGAGGGGACTGTAGCAACCCCACTGCTCCACTAGCACCCCCCCACTCCCCCCCCCCAGCACGTCACAGTTTCGCCGCTGAGAGTGTGTGTGTGTCTGAGGAGCTCCACGGATTGGCCCATTTGGACTGTCTATAATATCCTTAAAGATTTGGTGCAAAAGATACAAAGAAGAGATGTTTTTTCCTACCCATTTCTACCATTGGGGCTTATTTCTCCACCAGCAGTCATGTTGTTTGAAATAATGTTGGTAATATTACTAGCCAGGATTACACTTTTTTTTAATGGTGATGACATTTCAAACACCTTTCACCATGGCAATGGAATGTTATCTCCTGGTGCTGACATAATTCTCATTTTCTACCCACAATGACAGCCTTACCTTGACTCAGAGCATTTGTTCAGACATGTGTTAGTATCTGACATTGACGCACACGCAGGTTAGCCATCTATCATCGGAGCTAATGACAAGTAGCTTTCGCCTCATGTCTGGGCTATTTAAAGAAGTGGCAGGTCCCAGTGTTGAGCCAACAGCTGTCCAGCCCCTGCTCTTTATCCCTACAAGGGACAGTTGTCTTGTCTTCTTGTTACATCAAAGTTACCGCCATAGCTAGCCACTTCTAGAGGGTATCAAATGAAAGCCCACCTGGCCTGGTAGGATTATTGCAACAAGGCCCGCATCGCACTCTTCCCAACCCCTGCATGTCTTGCTTCTTTCAAAGGGCCGCACACACTTTACTATCTTTAAAATTACCCCTGTTTTTCTCCAGCTCTTTA